ATTTGTTATCATTTAGTTTTTCATAGTATTTTCTAATAATTCTTTGTATTTCTGTGGTATCTATAGTGATTTTTTCTTTCTCATTTGTGATTCTGTTTATGTGTGTAGATTCTCTTTTTTTCTTGATATGTCTGGCTAGGGGTTTATCTACTTTGTTAATTTTCTCAAAGAACAGCTCCTGCTTTCATTGATTCTTTCTGTTGTTTTATTCTTTTCTATTTTATTCTTCTTCCTCGTGTTAGGAGATCTGTGCATCTCCATGGCCTGAGAGACTGTTTCCTTCCCCAGATTGGGGAAGTTTTCAGCAATTACCTCCTGAAAGACACTTTCTCTCTCTTCTTCTTCTGGTACCCCTATAATGCAAATATTGTTCCATTTGGATTGGTCACAGAGTTCTCTTAATATTCTTTAATTCCTAGACATCCTTTTCTCTGTGCCTCAGCTTCTTTGTGTTCCTGTTCTCTAGTTTCTATTTCATTTACTATCTCCTCTACTTCATCTTATCTGCTTTTAAATCCCTCCATTGAATGTTTCATTTCAGATACTGTATTTTTCAAAGTTTCTGTTTGTTTCTTGAATTTCTCCCTGAGGTCTTGAATATTTTTCTGTAGCTCTGTGAGCATGTTTATGATTTTTATTTTGAAATCTTTTTCAGGAAGATTGGTTTGTTCGGTTTCACTTGCCCTCTTTCTGGTGTTTGTGGGATTTTGGTTTGTACCAGGTTCTTTTTGTGTTTCATATTTGTAATAATAACTTGATGTAGGCAGCACCCTCTGGTGCCTAAAAGCTCTACTCTCTGGAGCTGCTTGTCCTTGGAGTGATGGTGGGGTTTGTAGGCGAGTGGCCCTGGTGCCTGCTGGGAGGAAAGAGCCCTTTTCTGCTTCTTGACTGCTGTGCCTGCCTCTCCTGCAAGGGCTAGTGGACTGAGCTTGCAGGAAGGAGCCTCTATGCTATGCCGTAGTAGGTGCCATAGGCAGGGCTGCCCTCTGGATGGCCTGGCGCGATGGCGGGGACAGCAGGTTTGCAAGCCAGTGCTGGCTGGGTGGAAGGAGTGGCAGGCTGTATATCTGGGTGCGAGGCCTTGGGACTACATTGCCAGCCAGGGGGGATAGAGCACCTGAAGCTCCTTAAAGTTCCCAACCAGCTGGGCTGAGTGTGCTGTGACAATTTTGTTCACCTGTCCTTTCTCCCAAGCAGCAATTTGTGCAATCCTTGCCCCTTTAGTTGCCCTCTCACTGTTAGGAAGTCTCTCAGAGTGCATGCCTTTCTTTTATCCTAGAGTGGCTGGTTGTGGGTACCTGTTTTCCCAAGTGGTTGGAATCTCAGTCTCTGAGTATTCTACCTGTCTTAGCTTTCCAACCCCACTAATCTCCAAAGCACCATGTAATGTAGGTTCATGCTCCCAGAGCAGATCTCCAGGGCTGGGTGTTCAGCAGTCCTAGGCTTGGGTCCTGCCAGATCACGGCTTTGGTACTTTACCCTTTTCTGTGAGGTCTTCTCTTTTCCCCAGATGTAGGCAGTCTGTCACAGCCTTCTTTCCCATTGCCCTTTTAGGATTAGTTGTATTTGCTATATTTTCATATTATATATGGTTTTGGGAGGAGGTTTCTGTCTCACTTCTAACACTGCCATCTTTAAGCCTTTTCCCCGTGCCTGGCAGTTTTTTATTAGATTCCATACATTGTGAATTTTACCGTATTTAGGGACTGGGTATTTTTTGTATTCTATTCATATCCTTGAACTCTGTTTTAGTATTCAGTTTACTTACTTGGAAATTGATTCTTTCCAGTTTTGTTGTTAAGATTTGTTGAATGTGATTAGAGCAGTGCTCAGTCTGGGCCTTATTCCCATTTCAGAACCAAGATCTTTTAGATTTTCTCCCCAGTATCCTATGAAGTACGTGGTTTTTCCAGCCTGACCCATTCCTGGGCACTGTTTCCTCTAGTCCTTTGAGTGGTTCTTTCCCCAGTCTCATGTTTGCTCACATGTGTGTGCTGATTGGTACTCAGCTCAGTATTCAAGGAAGATTGCAGATCTCTGATGTTTTCTGCAGTTCCCTCTCAGGGGCTGTTTCCCAAGAACTCTAGCCACTTACAGTTCCCAGGCTCTTAATTCCATATCCTTAACTCAGAGGCCACCAGATTCTGCCTGGGTTTCATATCCCTGTGTTTACTCTGGAAACTCTCTTGCAATAGTTTTTTCAGTAGAAGATAGTGGAAGTTGATTTTTTTTTTCCCAGTTGGTTTTGAGAGCCAAATGGCTGGTAAAGGCTGATAAGTTGCTTTTATTTCCTAGAAGTAATTGGTTCATGTGTTGTGTTTATCTCATTTGTTTTCTGTTTTTCATGGTTCACTCTTTTTCTTTGCCTGATGTACTTACTGTGTCTTGCAAACCATTGTTTCATACAGGGAAATAAATTCAGTTCTTGTTACTCTGTTTTGGCTAGAAGCAGATGTTGGGGCTGATGTACCATCTCCTTACCTTAATTCATCTCAAACTCTTTTAAATACAACATGAAGCAGAGTTATCCCATCTGAACTTGCTTGTGTTTATTTTCTTAGTACATGTTAATTATTTCTGCCCTTAGAGTGTTTTCCTCATCTAAAATTATTTAATTAAGTAGAATAGGACATAATTATAGTCTTCCATGACATCTGGTTTTCAAAGTCTGTTTCAGAGTACATTCCATTTGGGAATGAAAAGAAAGGATGGAAACATATGACACCCTTTGCATTTATTTAAAATCTAAACAGTTTGGAAATGAAGGCAATATTTCAGCAGAACATATAGCATTGCTTAATCTTTCAGCTATAGCATTGTCTGATAGAAATGCTTTTTCAGTTAATCAGTCTACTTGGCCCTTTTTCAATCAGAACATTTATTCTGCCTGTGTTTGCCTTAGTCGTAGTTAAGTTTGTGCCTTGTCCATTAAATTGTCAATTAGGTTCATATTTAGAAATGAATATTATTAGCACATTTAAAACTTAACAGCTAGGATAAATTGAGGAGTTATTTTTTCCCAACATATAGTTCTTGTTCTAATATTTAGTATGTATTACTATTATTCTAATAACATGTAATCTTTTCTTTGTCCTTCATCTGGACATGAACCAGAAATTCCATTCTTTCTACTCTAAGGTTTTTAACATAAATGCAGTAGGATCTTTTGATTTGTTTTACGTAAAGAAAAAAAGGCTGCAATCTTACTCTGATTTTTTCAGTAGAAAGATTGTGAAAGTAGATTTTTTTTTCCAGTTGGTTTTGAGAGCCAAATGGCTGGTAAAGGCTGATACGTTGCTTTTATTTCCTAGAAGTAACTCTTAGGGTAAATACAAAGTCAGCCGTGTCTTTGTAGGCTGTTATATTGAGGAGAAAACTGATTTTCATGATGAAAAACCACAAATAACAAAACAAGGTGGTAGAGTTAATAAGCCAATAAAAGATGATCCTGTAGCACTCCAAGATTTAAAATTGAATCATTAGGAAGATTAAATTTTAACTACTGTTGTTTTGGTGAAGGAGAACAGGGTAATATTATGGAGGGGGCACTGAAATGAAACAAAGGCTTAGGTTACAGTATTTATTAGCATATCCAGTAAATACTGTGTGACTGAGTAAGTCTTATAATTTTGAACTTTAATATCCTCATCTGTCATAATGAAATGAATTAATATTTAATAATATAATAGGACTAAGCAGACTGATTATTCACAAAAGAATGGACAATTCTGTTATGCCAGGTACATTGCTGGTCAGTTTATTTGTTGTAATTTGTTTAATCCTCATATTAAACTTAGAAAATAGATATAACCTATATTTTACAGATGAGGAAACTAAGGTACCAAAATGTTAAGTAACATTTGCCATGTTGAGCAATCAACTATTAAAGGACAGTTTGATTCTAAGTATTTACTCTAAGGCCATGAATTTCCTTCTATTTCTATTTCTTCTCCTTCTAGAAATTATAATGTGTTTAATACATGAGCCATGTTATTTGCTAAGATGGTAAAGTTCTAAATGCCCTAACTCTGGATCTTCCTTTTTTTTTTTTTTTGTCAGTTTTCCTACCTGCAGTGTAGTCTGATTATTAAAACTTTATTTGTCAGCATCTGGTTCACCAGTGACTAATCCTAATCTACAGTGGTATCTTCTTTCTGTAAGATCTTAAAAGCATTTGTTATCTTTCACTCATTTATTAGTTATGTATTTGAGATTTATTTTGCATTTGAAATTTGGGGTAATTTTTGAATTGTTTAAATTTCTACATGTTCACATATTTTTGCTACATTTAAATCATAAGCTCCTGGAGGGAGTTTCTCTACTAGCATGTAGCACAGTGTTGTTCACATAATACATATATCTTTATACATAATTGGGTGAATGAATTCTGTCAGCTATACTATTTTAGTTGTCATTCTGTTATTCATTTCTCATGGGCAAATTTATTTAAGATGTTTAAAAATTTTTAAGTCTGACTTTATACAGCTAAGCTTTATAGAGAATTGCTTTTCAAAAATTTTGAAAAAGTTCAATCAAAATCAAAATGAGTTGATTGAAGTTAGCATGTAGACTTATTTGGGAGGGAGACCAGTGATTTTGCCCATACCTCAATTTTTTTAGTATTCCAGAAGTTGATGCTTTTTCCTGTCTTCCCCCCTCCCCACCCTGCCAACCAAAGCATTCAAAAAGAACGTTTAAGTAATATTTAGGAGATCTGGGTGGTCACCACTGCTACTACTAAACTAAAAAGCCAATTAACCTTTCTGGGCCTTAGTTTTCTCATACTTAAAAACTGAGTTGGATTATGTGATCTTTAAAGAAATAATGTTCCAGAATTTATGTAACTTACAAGTTTAATGTAAATTAGGTTTCAGAATTATAAAGTAGCATTTCATTCTTGCACATCAGAATATTAGTAGTTTATGGGTTTGTTTTTCTTTTAAAGTGTTTATCAGCTCATGTTCTACTTCCATGGTTAATTTTATTTTCTAACTTATCAGTACCCCCTCACGTGTTGCTAAAGGAGTTGTCAACCACACCAAAATGAGTCTACATAGTACTAGTGGGGGACATGAGAGATCGAGAGACAGACGGAGGTCCAGTGATAGATCACGAGATTCATCTCATGAAAGAACGGAATCTCAGCTTACTCCGTGTATTAGAAATGTTACTTCCCCAACACGACAGCACCATGTTGGTATGTAAAATCAACTAACCTTCCCGTTTTTAAAAGCATGCATTTACATTTTAAAGTAGTAATGACAATGAATTATGCCTAATTCTTCAGATAAAATTAACTCCTATTCACCTGCTTTTGTTTTAGCTTAGCTTGGGTCTTGCTGTGAACAAACAACTTATTAAGTCAAACTTAAAAGTGAAATGTTTTTGAGTCTTGCACAGTCTTAGAAGCAATTTGTAAAGCGTTTAGAACTGTGATATGTGGAATTTTAAAATCTTTCAAATTGGTTTTTATGGGATATATAGCAGTGATTTATTTTAAAATAGTTTGTAGTAATAAATAGAATCCTTGGTTGATCATGCTAAAAAACGGCAATGAAAGCTAGACCATGATGAAGTAATTTATTTTGATCTTTGACGTTTTAAATTTAATAATGAAAATATGGAAGATCCTAGGGAAAGCATGAAATGTTTTGTTTTCTTGACAACTAGCCCAGATCTTTTTCTTCCTTTCCTACCCAATATTATAAATGAACATTATTATGCCAAGGTAAATATATTGTGTGACTATAAAGCACTAGTCTGAAGCAGAGGTGTCTAAGAAATGTGAGTTTGCTCATTTACATTTACCTCTGGAGAAGGGGCAGTGAAATACTTTACCTTAACTAGTTGAGGTAATTTCAGATTGTTATAAATTGAAATCACTTACTTTAGTGTCTAATTATGCAAAGAAGTTGTCAATATCTAAGGAGGTTCTTAAAATTGGACTAGTACTGATGAGCCAAAAATCAACCAGAGTATAAATAAAAATTGAGTATTTGTTTATATGCAAAGTTCAGTATCTGGGAAGAGAATAGGTGGATGTAATAAATTATTTTATTCAGCAAATTTTGCTTTTGGGATGCTACCAGCACTGTGTAAACAGGCCATAAAAAGGAAGTGCGTGAGTATCTCTGGATATACAGCAAAACTAATTGTATAATCAGTAGAGTTGTGCAGAGTGTTCTAAGCAGCCTGAGTCATGGAGGAATTTGGCAAAAGCTGATGAAACTAATGAGTTGGAGGTACATTTTTAGGTCATCTTTAGAGTTTAGTGATCTAGCCTCTAAAGGGAACGTAATGATAAAAATGTAGTTTTAATTTCCCTTTTGTGAAATATTGGAACAGCTAAAGAGAATTTTCTGAATTTTAACTATTTCCTACCTATTAAAATTATAGATAATAATTATATGATCCTATAAAATTTGTAGCAGTGCTTTATTCAACAAAAGTGAGAATGAAAAGAAAGCCATGTATTATCAGCTATTAAGACCATTTTATTTGGTGGACATTAAAAGTAATTTGAAAAAATAAATACTTCCCATTTCTTCCTTTGAGACCTTCCTTTTGTAATGTAAATTGCTGTTTTGGGGATGCCCTTATTAACATAGTGAGATTTGGTATTCTTATTAATCTTTTATTAATTTTCAATGCTTATTTGACTTGTGAGAATATTCTGTTTCTTGGGTTTTTTTATATTTTGAAGTAGAGTAATAACATAAAATTTACCTTAATTTTGATCTTAGCCTTGGTCAACATTAGTCAGTATAAATCTTCTTAAAAGTCTACAAAAATTAATTATTTTAGAAAACATTTTTATGTCCTAGGTTTTTTCCCTGTGAAAAAAATTAATATGGTTTCTGTGAAAATGTTATTTAAAGTCAGGAAGCCGCAATTTAAAACAACTTTTTCTAAATCAGAAATTTTAAAAGATACATATAGATCTTGAATTTTTTAAAAGAAAGTTTGCATAACTGTAACATTTTTATTTCAGAACGAGAAAAAGATCACAGTTCCTCTCGTCCAAGTAGTCCTCGCCCTCAGAAAGCATCTCCAAATGGTTCCAGTAGCAGTGCTGGTAACAGTAGCAGGAACAGTAGTCAGTCAAGTTCTGATGGCAGCTGTAAGGCGTCCGGGGAGATGGTGTTTGTATATGAAAACGCAAAAGAGGGAGCCCGGAGTGTACGAACATCAGAACGAGTGACGCTAATAGTGGATAACACTAGATTTGTTGTAGACCCATCCATTTTTACTGCACAGCCAAACACAATGTTGGGCAGGTTTGTATTAATGCCAGTTTTTTCTATTATTAATTATAGCACTTTCCCATTATTTTCTTTTTTCATTTTAATTTTACAGTAATTTTCTGTTAGAATGTAGTACTCCTATTTTACAGATAGAAGGACTGAGCTTTGGTAGTTGAAAACTTGCTCAAATTAATACAGCCAGAAAAAAACAGATCTTGAACTTGATTTTATTTCTATTGATCTTTGCTGTACAAATAAGAATAACAAATATATTAATTAATTAAGATACTAAAAGATCTCTACAGGTTGAAACCATAGATTATCTCTAACACTGAATTTAACAGTGATAATAGGTTTTTTTTCACTTGGGGCTACTAAAGTCAACCACTGAATACAAGTACCAGCATTGTTTAAGGAAACAAAACCCCAAACTTTGGTTAACTGAAAGTCAGCATGAGTTTTCAGTATGATGTAGAGACTTTAAAAAAAAAATGTAAACAGTTAGCAGAGTGAAGGAGAAATAATAGTCATCTTCCAATCTGTGCTGGTCCAGAGTAATAGGTTAATGTGAACTGCAATCTTAAGAATGACACAGACCATTTAGACATGTTTTTCATTGTGTCCAAAAACACCTTCTAGGATCAAATCTATTTAGGGTCTAGTATCTTTTAATTGTAAAATTAGTATCTTTTTCTGTTCATGCCAGTTTAAAATGAAGGGGCATATAAATGGAATAGAAGTTTACATGAGGTAAAGAACTTGTGGTTTTTTCTAGGTTGCTTGTAACTATTTGGATGCCTTTGTGTGTATGTATAATAATTTGTCAGTATCTGTGAATACAGAATAAATGCTAACATATGATACAGTATGCATTTTGAGTAGGTAAAGTTTCCTTTTAATTTGGCACTAGACTTTCCATCTGTGAGAAAAACACACTTGAAATACAGGCTTTTATGTATTTTTAGTAGCATACAGGAAGATCATTGATGAAAACTATTTGGAGGATTACGTGAAACTGTTAATACTTTATATTTTTACCTAAACTTTAAAGAAACACAATTAAAAAGTAGATATTTGAATTTTTGCTTTAGTTGTTAGGCTACATTTTCTTATGACAAAACCCCAGAAGATTTGTGTATCTGTGTGTGTATCCGTATTGGTCTTAAAAACATAGCTTTCCTCTTTTGTTAAAAATACAGATATTTGAGAAAATACTTCTGTATGACATTTGACTCCCAAAAGGCTCTCCTTGTCTTGTTCTTTTTTAAATCATTGAAGGCTTCTTTTCATGTCACTTGACTACAGCATTATCTTTGGGAGTGCAAATTAATATTCATGGAAATTGTCAAAAGCACTTGGCATTCTTTTGGAGACTTTGAAATAAAAAAGCTTTTTGTTCTTTTTGTGTTATAACAAAAGAGGAAGCCATTTAAATTGGGAAATTGTTTGGTAGAATACTTAGATCAGCCATATTTCCTTTAGGAATGGTGGTATCTTTGAATTCAGAGGTTCAGTTTCCTTTAATCACAATTTAAGAATTTTCTTGGAATTAATGCTTTAAAATTTTCAATTTGAAGTACATAGATTGCAAAATGCCTCTTTTCTGAATAGTTACTATTAAAGGGCCAATTTAATAGTTACTATTAAAGTGACTTGAAAAAAATAGAAATCCTTTTGTGTTTTCCTTATGTAACAATCAATATTAAAAAGCTTTCTACTTATTTATTTAAACTTTCATTCTCCTCTTAACTTCTTCATTCCTCCCTATCCCAACATTTGATTGCATATTTTTCAATTCTAGGGTGCAAATGCAAGAATATTGAGCAAGATTTCTTATATTTATAGGTAATACTGTGAAAAGTAAAACAATCTAATATGGCTACTCTCTTACCATTTCCTAGTTTAGATTACCTTATGTGCAACATTATAGCATCAATTTTGCGATAAAGACAGCAGTTTTAAGGAAAAGGCCCAGTGGTTTCCCTTTTCCTTTTTTTTTCTTTCTAGTAAGATTAGTATAAAAATCACCTTTCCCTCTAGATTGTTTCCCTCTAAATGTTTTTTTTTT